GGGGAGGGGCAGGGAGGGGGGTGAGGAGAAGGCAAGGGATGTGGGTATGGCCCACCCTGGGCTGGGCAGAGGAGACAGTGGCAGGAGGGAAGGAGGAAGCCGGCCCAGGCGCTTCCCCCAGGAGGAAGCGGCGCCCGGATTTTCCCCAGGTGTGGTCTGAGGTATAAAGGTGTCGTGTGAGCACCCAGAGCCGCCACACCAGGTCAGCCTGCAGCTACGCCTGGAACCCTAGGCAGGTGCACTGCCGCTTGAAGCCCGGAGCCCAGTCGACGCTGTTCGATGGTGAGCCTGAGCCACTGCCTCCCCCACGTGCCCACTGCGCTGGAGCCTCCTGGCCCTGGATGGTTGGTGGCTCACTGACCCCAGGCTGAAGATGTTGGGATAGGGTCCCGGGAACCCCCAAATCTGGGGGCAAAAGGGGGTCAAGGAGCCTGGGTGGGCTGGGGAGGGTGGGCTGGGGAGGGTGGGCTGAGGGGCTAGTCCCTCTGGGCCTCAGTTCTCCCACTGTAGCGGGGGGCTGTCCCCTGCCTTTCCACAGGGAGCAGAGCCCCCTTCCCTGGGCACCCCCTGACCACCCACCACCTACTCCACCAGCTCATCCCTGGCCTCCTGCTTCTGGTCTGGCTGCCCGCCAGCCTGACTCGCCACAGCCCCCCACTCTGGGCAGGGGCCCACGCCCACACCCACAGGACTCCCCGCTGCTACTTGCCAGAGGAGCTGCCCCTGGGCCATGCCCCGCCCCACCTGCTGGCTCGAGCTGCCAGGTGGGAGCAGGCTTTGCCAGTAGCCCTCGTGTCCAGCCTGGAGGCGGCAGGCCGCAGGAGACGGCATTCGGGGCCCCCGGCTGGTGCCCAGTGCCCAGTGCTGCAGCCAGAGGAGGTGCTGGAAGCTGACCTCCACCAGCGCTCCATCTCTCCCTGGAGATACCGGTGAGAGCTGGGGGCTCCCTGGGCGTGGGGTCCCCACTGTGTGGCGTTGGGCCCCTCCCTCCCCTCTCTGGGCCTCCCTGGGCCTCAGTGATTTCACCTGCTGAATAGGCTCAGCAATGGACCTCAGACCTGGGTCCGGCCAGCCCCCCACCCAGGGGGCGGGGCTCCTCCGGCCAGCTCCTCCCCAGCCCTCGGCCACTAGGGTCCCCCTGGGGAAATTTGGGAGCCCCTACTGAGCCCCTGCAGGGGCTGGGCTGGGCCTGGTGGGGGAGAGGGGGGGGTCTCCTGTGCCCTGGGAGGGCCGCAGGCGACACAGGCAGTTACCCACTGAGCACTGGCTGCGTGCCCAGCCCCCTGGGGACCCCACACCACCCACCCCACAGCCCAGGGCGCCCCAGGCTCCCTGACACCCCGTCCGCCCTGACAGCGTGGACACGGATGAGAGCCGCTACCCGCAGAAGCTGGCCTTTGCCGAGTGCCTGTGCAGGGGCTGCATCAACGCCAAGACGGGCCACGAGACAGCGTCGCTCAACTCTGTGCTGCTGCACCAGAGCCTGCTCGTGCTGCGCCGCCGGCCCTGCCCACCGGCCGCCGCGGGGCCGCCCACG